AAGTGGTAGAGCGCTAGCCTTGAGCTGAAGAGCTGAGGGACAGCGCCCAGGCCCAGAGTTCAAGCCCCACGACTGACAAAAAAAAAAAAAAAAGATTCTCTCAGCTCTCAGCTTCCTGAATAACTAGGATGACATAGGCATGAGCCATTGGAGTCCAACATACCATTGGGCCTTATGTGGTTTGCAAGGGAAGATAGCAACGCATCTGGTTACCTGTGTGTAGGAGTCACCTTCAGTACGCCCTCTCCCCTCATTTAGGACATGTGGAAGGCTTGAAGCAGAAATAAAACCTTTTGGAATGAACTAGTGCCAACAGCTTCCTCACTGCAGAGAAAAATCTTTACAGGTGGCAAACTTTCTTTGACCTTCTCCTGCCTCCCAATCTCACTCCACTGGAGTCCACATTGACCTCCCTCTCTTAGGCGCAGTCCAGACAACATAATAAAGGTATTGCCAGTGGTGCCCTAATGAAGAGAGTTGAGGGCTGGTGGTTAGTTTTTATGATGCGATCTTTGACAAGCCTCTGGACCCTAGTTTTATCATCTGTAAAGAGGGGTTAGTACTCTTTACTCTAGTGAGGAGAGATAATGGCTATGCTTGTGCTTTGAACTTGCAGAGAGATTATCATAATTATTTCCTAAGTGATGGCAGCGGCAGTCTCTGTCTGCCATGTGTCTAGGCTTGGAGAAGCATCATTGATGGGTAAGGCAAACTGATGTGTTGTCTGGGTTGGGGATTGGTCTGATGAAGTTGTAAGGCTTCATCATAGGTGAAAGAGAATTAAAAAAAGGTAGCTGGATCTGGGCACTGGTGGCTCACACCTGTAATCCTAGCTACTCAGGAGACTGAGATTTGAGGATCATGGTTCAAAACCAACCTGGGCAGCAAAGTCCCTGAGACACTTATCTCCAATTAACCACCAGAAAACCAGAATGGCGCTGTGGCTGAAGTGGTAGAGTGCTTGTCTTGATCCGAAGAGCTGAGGACAGAACCCAGGCCCAGAGTTCAAGCCCCATGACCACCACCACCACCAACAACAAAAAAAAAAGGAAGCAAGCTGGGTGCTGGAAGCTCATGCCTGTAATCCTTGCTACTGGGGAGGCTGAGATCTGAGGATTCCCCATTCAAAGCCAGCCTGGTGCAGGAAAGTCCATGAGACTCTTATCTCCAATTAACCAACAGAAAACAAGAGTGGTGCTATGGTTCAAAATGGCAGAGCACTAGCCTTGAGCAAAAGAGCTCAGGGACAACACCCAAACCGAGAGTTCAAGCCCCATGACCCACAAAAAAAAGAGGGGGGTTTGGAGGTAGGGTTTGGTTGGTAGAATACCAGCCAATCAGTGAAAGCATGAAACCAAGGTTTTGTTTTTGTCAGTTGTGGGTCCTGAACTCTGGGCCTGGGCGCTGTCCCTCAGCTCTTTAGCTCAAGGCTAGTACTCTACCACTTGAGCCACAGTGCCAATTCTGTTTTTTTCTGCTTATGTGGTGCTGAGGAATCAAACCCAGGGCCTCATGCATGCAAGGCAAGCACTCTACCACTGAGCCACCTTCCCAGCCTCTCCCCTTCCTTCTTCCTTCCTTTCTTTCTTTTTCTTTCCTTCTCTTTTTCTTTTTGCTTTTGAGACTGGGTCTTACTATGTAGCTCAGGCTAGCCTTGAACTCTTG